AATGACAAAATGACAAGTAAGAAAATGCAGGTGAGGTCAGAGAGTTATTCGGAAATGAATAACCACGCCTTCGCTCACAACAGCGTTGTCATTCAACAACACTGGAAGGATTTGACTTTCAGATATAGGAGATGATGTGCAAAACGTAATCGTAGATGTAGTCAGCCACTGGCATACAAGTGACTATCAAGAAAATAACATACAGAAGCGGCGGTCCACTTCCTCTTTCATTGAGTAGCTCGTCCTCGAGCTATTGGGTTTACAACAAGGTATTGGATTAGACCGTAGCACGGTTCCTTGTTGTAAAGGGTAATGTGATGAAACAACAATAAATAATCCTATTCTACGTGTTATTTTATACATTTATTTGCCTAACTAGAGTTCGAATACTTTGGTTGTGCTTGCATAAAAAAGAAAGACATCGAATGATGAGTCTAGTGTCAGACAACCCGTTAGTATACACATAGAAAAATGTATGTATAGCCTTTTTTTTTTTTAGTTTTCATATATATACATATAGTACCAGTAGAATGAACATATATAATTACATGGAAATCTTGGTCTTGTAGTGACCAAGATTGAGCATGAATATAAAACATTTCTCAGAGGTGATACGAATACTAGTCTTGCTAAAAAATTCCTACTTTCGACTAGTATAAGGGCGTGTAATTTTGAGCTATTTAGGTATTAACTAGTGAGAACAGCTGCCTTATCTAGAGTTCTTTGAAACGCCAATTCAAAGAGCTTTTCATTGAGATTCTTCGCGACGAAGCGGCTAATAGAAGGGTTAACTAAACTGACCTAGGAGAGCTAACTGTTTCGAGTTAACAGCTAGTTCTCCAGTAGCTATTCGTCTTCTCGGCTAAAACTGAAGTTTTTCCTGAATTCGACGAGAACGCCGTATTATAGGTTGTTCTTCGGCAGATGATCTTTCCTGTACTTTGTGGCAATGCTGTTGTGCTTGCGTGTTTTGGTTAGAAACATCATCCGACAAAGAACGGGGAGCATACAATTTCAAGCGATTGACGTGAACTACTTGTCGCACAGGGCGACCTACAAGATTAGTTATCGTTGCATTCGGTCGATCTATAGAATCAACCTTAAACGGACCTTTCCATTGGTTTGTTAGTTTTGGACGAACTGTGTCGTCATGTAAAAGAACTAAATCTCCAATGGAAATGTTCGTTGGACATACCTTATGTAGTAAGTCATATCCTGTTTTGTAGAATGACGACTTCGTTGCAATCTGGTTTCCAACTTCTATTATGATGTTTTTCAGGCCGGCCGCGAATTGGTCAGCGAAATCATCTGATGCGATGATATGACGCTGAGGCAATTCATGGAGTATATCACTCCATGTTATTGGATACCTACCATAAACAATGAAGAACGGGCTATAACCTGTCGTCGCATTTTTACTGCAGTTGTATGCGAAAACAATAGGCTGGACAAAATCTGACCATTGGTGTCTGCCTCCGAACAATATGCTGTTAAGGAGTCAGTGATCACCTTTACCAGTCTTTCTGCTTGCCCATTAGCCTTATGGTTATAAGCAGTGGTAAATTTATTTTTGATACCGAGTGCTTTGTTGATTTTAGAGTATACCTCGCTAGTGTAGTTCGAACCACGATCCGAAACAATTTCGTTTGGGATCCCGTGTTTCGAAATCACATCATTGATCAGGCTTTTGCTACTGTATCAGTGGTTTGGTCTTCTATCGAGGTACACACTACAAACTTACTGAAGGCACACACGGTAATCGAAATAAATTTACTTCCGTCCTCACATTGAGGTAACGGTCCCATTATATCTGTGTGAACACGTTCAAAAGGTCTGGTTGGCGTTGGGAAAGTTCCCATTTCTTCGCGAATAATACCTTTTGAAGGTGTTTTCACCTTTTGGCATGTTGGACATGTATTGATGTAGGTTGCTACATCTTGATACAAGTTTGGCCAAAAATACTTCTCTTTTATACTTTTGTATGTTTTGCCTATTCCTAGATGTGATCCAATAAGTGGATTCTCATGAAATATAGCTACTATGCTAGTTTGCATGTTTGGATCTGGAATAAACAGTGATTCCCTATTATGCATTGTATAATACAAGGAATTGTTATGCATAGAGAATTTTTCTAATTTGTCTAGGAATTCTTCAGGAAGTTCCTCTATCTCATCAGTAAGAAACTTTATGATTGGGCTATACCTAGAATTCCTTTGACTTTCTTGAATTTCCTCGAGAGAGGGGAATGATCGCGCTTCTATAGCATTAATGTGGGGTAGTGGGTAGCGACTAAGGAAATCACAAAACGTGTTGTGTTTACCTGCCCTATATTCGATTTTAATATCGTAGGCTTGTAAAACAATTTGGTATTTTGCTAATCGTCCCACTAAATCTGCCCTATGCATTAATGACTTAAGAGGTGCGTGATCAGTAATAAGCGTGATTTTCGCGTTTGCTACATAAGGATAGAATTGGTTTAATGCGTAAACTATCGCAAGGGCCTCTAACTCTATTACTGCGTAGTTCTTTTCGTGTTTATTCAATGCGCGACTACAGTAAGCTATGGGATGCTCTCCCTGTGTTTTTTGATTAAATTGTAATAAACATGCGCCTAGGCCTATGGTGGATGCATCCGTATGTATAATGTACGGTTCTCCAAATGTGGGTTAAACTAATACGGGTGCTTCAACTAGAGCTTGTTTCAGAGTAAGAAACGCTTGTTCATGAGAGTCAGTCCATACGAATGGTGTATTTTTGACTAATAAGTTATGAAGCGGGGTAGCTATGATTGAAAAACGCGGTAAATAACGTCTAAAATATGATGCTGCTCCTAAAAAAGATTTTATTCCTTTCACGTCTGTTGGACGTGGGATCTTAGCAATGCTAGCAACCTTATTGGGGTTTGGACGAGTACCATTTTTGCTGATGAGTACTCCTAAATACTGAACTTCTGTTTGAAAAAATGAACATTTCTTCTGGGTTAATTTCATACCAAAGTTTCTGATACGTTGAAAAATTTCTTCTAAGTCGTCAAGGTGTCCACTTACCGATTGACTCGCAATGATAATATCGTCAATATACGCAAAACAACATGATTTCAGTTCACGTATTAAGGCTGTTCGCTACCCTCTGAAATGTAGCTGGGGCACCTTTTAGCCCTTGTGCCATAACAGTGAATTGGTATAATCCCAAAAAAGAAGAAAACGCTGTGCGTTCTTTGTGTTTCTCTAATAAAGGTATTTGGAAGAAACCACTTTTGAAATCAAGAACTGAATATATTTCTTTCCCACTTACAAGATCTAAAATGTCCTGCATATGCGGAATACAATAGGTTTCAGTTTCAGTTATAGCGTTTATTTGACGATAGTCCACTGTGAAACGCCATTGGTCTTTCTTGGGACCCTTTTTGACTAACACTATTGGGGAAGCAAATTTGCTTGTACTTGGTTCTATGATGCGTGTTCTTAACATTTCTTGGATTTGTCGTTCAATTTCGTTTCGTTTCTCTAAGGGTACCCGGTATGGTCTTTGCTTAGGAGTTGTATGATGGGGTACAAAATTTATACTATGAGTAATGGGACCCGTATATCTGCCAAGATTCCCGTCGTTTCCTACGAAACAGTCTTGATATTTACTTAATAATTTATAAAAATCTTGGAGTTGTGCGTCATCTAAAATAGAACGATTAAGTTGAATTTGACTCTGAATTGTTGTAGACTGATGTATATCAGGAAAGTAAGGTATTCTTTAGCAAAATCCGCCTCCGGTGGGATGTATTCCGGGATTTGCTCATTTAGTTGGGATTCTAAAGGAGAATTTTTGTCGTTGTACACGGAAAATACAGGGTTCCAGGGGGTTTCCACTCCCACAAAAGCTGCTGTTGCTACTTTTGTATTTCTTGGTAAATCAATGGTGGTGGGGTTTGAATTAAAAATACGTAGATATACGGTGCCATCAACATTTGGGACAAGAGAGGGTTTTCCCAATTTGAATTCCGTCCGGAAGATGACATAGTGGGTCATCTGAGGCGAAAAGTTCCCAATTACGAGGGAATGTGGTATTTGTGGTTCCTATAGCTACATTATCGGAAAATGGTTGTAGAATGGTATTATTGACTAAGTGAACGGGGAGGGTGAGAAATTTATGGTTGTTATAATTTAGCGCTGTGAATGGTACGGTAATTCTGTCAAAAGAAACGGTGTTAGAGTGGTAATTGATCGACATTGTTTTCGCGAATTGTTGGATAACGTCATTGCCAAGAATGAATGGAGAAGAACAGTTATCATCAGAAGCGACGTAGCAAGTAATTTGCATGGTTTTTCGTCCTATGGTGAGGTTTGGTGTGAATTGACCCAGTAAATTCATGATCGATCCATTCGCTGTGATACCTTTTGTAACCGGGGACGGGGATAGTTCGGCCTTTATTTTCCGAGCTACGGTATCAGAGACGATTGTAAGAGCTGATCCAGTGTCTAGAAGAGCAACGATTGATGACGTATTAAGTTTTGCCGGGACATAGATCATTTGACTAGTATTAGCAAGGTGGATACAAGAGATGCCTGGGAAGAAATTTGCAAATTGCTGTTTTTGGCTTGTGACGCAGGTGGTGCTGCTGGCATATTAATTATTGATTGGGGAGGTGCTGATGGTTGATGATATTTGGAAACTGGAACGGATGGTATGTTGATTATTGATCCGGGGTTGCTTGTACATTTGTTATGGGTAGAGGAGCTGCTGGAAGGTTGATCATTGGGAGAGGTGGAGCTGGAAGATTGATGCATGCAGGAAGTTGAATGGATACATTAATGGGTGTACTATTAGCTACAGTGTTATCCTGGGCATGTTGCAGTTTCCTTGTCGCAGTACTTGACGAAGATCTACGTCTACATGTGGACGTGAAAATCATATTCAACGGAATTCGATACAACGCAGTCTGACAATATAAGATTGCAAGAGCGATGACGAGGAAGAGACAAATCGATCCAATGACATCTTCCTGACTAGGTCGTGTAAATCGAAGGATTCCAGGATTTTCTCCTTTCGCGACTGAAGAAATGAAGAAGAAAAGGAAATCCAGCGTTGGATTCTAAAAATGCGGTGTCCGCTAATTCGTGTCCCAATTGATTCGACATTGATTTGTCTTCCGTTGTTGATTTCGATGGTCCGGCATACATGTTGTTAATAGAGTTTAGATGATTTTTGATAAGATATAAATCAGTTGATATTTTAGCCAAATCTGAATGAAATATAGGCGGAGAATTGAAAATGAAGTTTTCTTGTGCTAAATTGTTTGGTAAATTTAGAATGAATATTGGTCACCTGGGCATAACCCGATGCTGATTTGTACTGATTGTTTCCATCATTATAAATACCAAATGGTAAATGTCCACAATCTGCTCGTGGACTGGCTTTGACCAGATCACGAGTGCCTGGTTGGATAAAGTAAAACTGTTTTCCCAGCTCTGACTGGTGTGAAAATATAACAAGTTCCTTTTATCTTGTGATCGAAAATTATTTCATCAACTACAATTTCTTTGCATTTGGAGACCATTAATACGTCTCCTGCAGACATGGCGAATATATCTTCTCGATTGAGAAGTATTCGGCTGCTGTAGTTGGATTGATTTGGGCGATACTTTTTATAGAATGGGCTTTGAAATTCATAAGAGAACAGATTTTATCTAACAAAAAGTTGAAATCTTGCCTTATAATTTCGTCCATTTTGATTTTAAGAACTGCATTTTAGTATTAAGTTCTGCATGACGATTATCTTGACGTTGTTCATGACTAAGATTAAGGATCATTGTTCATAGCTGCGAAATCAGGTTGTGAGTTGAAAGCAATATGGTGAGCTATTTGCCTTGACATATCTGAAGGGTTTGCATGCGCAGGGTTCTCATTATGGCTGAAAGTGGAATCTTTTGTTCCAGTTAATAGCGCATTTGAAGACTTTTGGTTGCTTTATTGCGCGATAGTGGATTGCTTGGATGATGATTTTGAAGAGGGGAAATTTTTGTTTCGTGTCTGGCTTTTCTGTAGTGAGTTTGTATTCATCCTTTTCAAGATGAATCTTCGGTTTGGTTTCCTCCAAAACATCAGTAATGCCGCGTTGATTTCGCGTTGGCTGAGTTACAGAGGTTACTAGTTGCAAAAGTTTTGAGTTGTAAAAATGTTTACGATTGATACTGTCTACCACCTCAGGATACTGCGAAAATATGGTGCGAGGGTTGTGATCCTCGATTTCCGGTAGAACAATGAATACGCCATTGTCCATTGCAATAGCAGAATTATTTAGGCACCACGTATTGAGTAGGCATTACATAAGCCACTCCTTCAGTTGCTTTTACATAACGACATATTGGCGTTGAAGGTGATGGTGCCCAAATAACAGTGCCATGAGTAAGGTTACATTGGTTTTTTGTAATGTTGCAATGTGCCATGTTCCCAAATTGGCCTATCAGATGATTTCCATCAAAAGTTGCAATTGTTCCTTTTTCAAAATACACGTTGGTAGTGAGTGTACATTTTTCTCCAAAAAACCATGGATACGAATAATGAATTTGGTTTTCTGATCCATATACGTTTGGTGAAAGTTGTCCTAAAGGAATGTCTAAATACTTTCTAGTTTGTGTTAGTGATTCACAAAGAGCAGGATCTATAGGAGTCATGAATTCTTCATCGCTGTTAACCGAAAAAGAAACATGTAAGTATGAGGATGCGCAGATTTTCTAGTTTTATTGAAACAATGAAAAGCTGGTAAAAGCCATGGTTCAGTCCGTTCGACATAAAGATCAGCCCCAGTAATTAAGACTTTAGTTGAGTTTGGAGGACTTGTGCAGCTTACAGAATCAGGGAAGGCAATGGGCCAACCTGATTTTCCTGCTGCACAGAGTTGGTACTTGAGAGAAAATGCAGAGGAAGGAGCGATCATTATGCTTATAATAGCGACAACAAATAAGGATGTCATTGGTTTTAGGAATGGTTTTTGGATTACTTGTAGTTATTGAGTTAACTGGGAAATGGCGCGAGGAATTTGGGTGTTGGCGAAATGGGGATTGTTGGCGGCGAAATGGAGAATTATTGCGGTAATATGGAGAAGTGTTACGGCGAAATGGAGAATTTTGACGATTATATGGACGTCCTTGATTATTATTATAAGTAGGGTTTCCAGATCGGTTTTGCGGTCTGCGGAATTGAGGTGATTGATTTCTATTATAATTGGTTTGTGCGGCAGGAGCAAACCTAACATTATTGCGCGATGGGGGTCTACAGTGCGTTTCAAAAGTATGTGCACACCCTCAAAATTCACGTTTGAAAGGGAACCATGAGGTTTCGTGCTATGAAATCCTTCTCAATCGATTTCTCGTAGTCGATAACCTATCAATGGAAGCAAAGCAGATAATATCGCTTCACTTTCGAAAAAAATTTTGGATGAAATTTTTTTCTTTGTTTCAAAAGTATGTGCACACTTAACAAAAGACAAAAACATAGCTGAGATTAGAAATCAGTGGGGCCTCCAGAGTTTCTAATTAGCTCAAACATCCTGTCCGGCATAATCTGAACCACGTTTGGCATAGCTGTTTCGTCGCTGTCGGCCAAATAGCCTCACACGAATGTGAATGCGTCGGTGCCAAGTGGGCCGGCAGTGAAGAAAAAGGAAAAGAATCCGTCGAAAACGCTCAGGTTGAGGGCTCACTCACCTTCCTAATCGGCTGTGCTAAGGGAATGAGAGACTAAGCGCGGAGAGGAGAGTATGAGGCGAGAGAGCGCTACAGATGAGAGAGCGCCAGACAACAGCCTGATAAGAGAGCTCGTTCGCTGCAGCTCGAGCAGCTTACTTTGCAAGCCCCAAGCGTTCTTGTCGGTCGAATTCCGTGCACGTGAACGCCACATTTGTGATTGTCCCCTAGGGTTCTATACTTCTGACCGAAGAGAAGAGTTCACACGACCTCTGCCTGGGTTGTGCCTTTAAGGCCATTCTTTGGTAGATTGCGAAGCATCGAAAGACACGTGGTCCTGTTGCTAAAAATGCAATTTTCGCTCCGCTTCGCTAAGGAAGGGCAACAGGTGACATTGGAGCACTGCTTGGTATTCTTTACAGTTCATACGCAATAATGGAACGGCAACTTCTGAATTTCCGCTGATTGCGAAACCGCCGCAGACCCATCAACGGGCCTCTTCCGAAATTCCTTCTCGAGAGCACGAGCGACTCACGGCCAAGCCTCTCCAGTAGTAGCAAAATCCACCCGGCCCGTCAAGATCGAACTCTTTCCATGAGTTAAGATTACCTGAGGAGAGAAAGTCCATAAAAAGTTGCTTGTTTTGAAAATAGGAAATTCTCGAAAAACCGTGTCTTCGCCCGGTGTCCTATCCTATGTTGCCATGTCTGTACGAGCAGACTCCAATGTGGCTAACTTGTGCTGGGCCTTGAAGTGAGTAGCCTTTCTCAGCGTCTGTCGAGTGGTGTATTCATTTGAGCGGATGAGGGGCTTAGTGGTCATTTTCGAGGCTGGAATAAAAATCTGAGCTCGGACTGTCAATGAAGAATCCGACAGGATGTGGGCTACTCTTTTGTTGTTCTGAGCAGTCAAGGATCGTGGATGGAGCGGAGTGTGTGCTGAGTATAATTATCAGGGTGCCAGATAAATCTTCGAATGCATTAAGGAGAACGACCAAGTTATCGTGCGATTTCTAGATTGGAACGTTCATTATCATGCAGAACCTTGATCTGAGCTTGCTCATCTTCAGGAAGAAGTATGGCGCGAATTGACATGATGACGAAATGAAAACAGCAAAGTCGGATTGAAATCGGTGGAAAATTCGGCGCCAAAATCTGATCTTCTTCAAGTGTGCACATACTTTTGAAACAAAGAAAAAAATTTCATCCAAAATTTTTTTCCGAAAGTGAGGCGATATTATCTGCTTTGCTTCCATTGATAGGTTATCGACTACGAGAAATCGATTGAGAAGGATTTCATAGCACGAAACCTCATGGTTCCCTTTCAAACGTGAATTTTGAGGGTGTGCACATACTTTTGAAACGCACTGTAGTATTGCGCGATGGACTTCGAAAACGTGAATTGTTTTGATTATTATTGCGAAAATTATTATATTGCCTAGGTTCAAAATTAGGATTGAAATTACGATTTGGTTTACGACTATATCGAATTGAATTATTTGAAGGAGTCCTATTAGAAACTATTGTATCAATAGCTCTATCGATTTTTGCTATCAACAAATCCTCTTCTGGAAGAGAACTCGTTCTGGTTATATTATATATGCGTTCCGCTTCGCGTAACAATGTGTCATAGTTAGTTGGTAGGGGACCAAGAAGTTTCATTTTATCTTTGATTTTATTTGGTAGGCCATTAGTGAATACTAACTCTTGAAGAAACTTGCGTTTTTCTTCTAGGTTAACATGTGGGTACGCGTCCATAACTTCCTTTTTTATTCTGTTAGAGAATACCACTGGGGATTCACTTAATTCCATTTTCATACCCATTATTCTCTCCCTGGCCATATCTAAGAATTGATCTGTCGAAAAATGTTCTTTGATTTTGGTAATTGCTACTCGGAAGTTCGCTTTTTCGTCATCGGACAAATTTTCATATACTGCTTTCGCGACCCCCTTAAGATGGGCTGGTAGAAGGCGAGCCATTTGGGCTTTCGTTTATTCCCATAATGCGGCTTATTTCATAGAATTCATTTAAGAATTGCATGAAGCCAGAACCCATTCTTGTACCAGAAAATGTGGGAAGCCTAGCAGCGTAGGATGCTACGCATAGCCGATCAAATGCAGATTCGAAGTTATTGGGCACTAGGTGGTTTACACCTTGATTGTTCATCTTCCATTGGGGTACTTAGGGGCTCAATGTGGACTTGAATTGGTTCAATTGAGGGTTCCTGCACGTAGTCGTACACTTGCGCAGTTGCAGCTTCTATGTAGATGTCTTGGAAGTTGATGACGGATGGAAATTGTATTTGTGGTGCAATTGATTCGCTTATTGGCTGCGGGCTTGGGGTACGAGAAGAATCGCTTGTAGGATAAGAAATCAATGAAGAAAAACTACTGTATGATTTAGGGGCGGTTGGTGTTAGTTGCGGCGGTAGAGATTGTGCGCGACTGGATCTAGGCTCTGAACTAGCAACAGAATTGGCTGGTTGAGAGGGTGTTACAAAGTCGGTTTTGAGTTTAAGTTTCTTTGGAATTGAGAACTTAAACAGGCGAAATCTAGAGCGACGTTTAACTGAATTTCTCCCTTCCGCTAATCTATTAAAAGGTCTGCCTTCCGAATCTGTTAGTAATTCAGAATCGGAACTACTCATATGATGAAGGTCGGGTACTACGCAATTTTGGTATTGAGTACTATCTTTCTACTTAGTTGGTTGAATTTGTTTTTTAATTAGCAGTATTTGATTATAAAAAGATTGTTAGATTTATGTGGGTGCTTAGTAGGGTCTGTACTTTAATGATAGAATGAAAATAGAGGAGAATGTGAGAGTATGAGTGGATGGAATAAAATCAGTAGACTTAAATTGTCAACGATTAAATACTCACGATCCTTTTGTAGGAGCAGTGAAGTTGATTGTTGCTGATCCTTGGACAGGTATGGCGTTGATTGTTGGGTGTTGGTGGCGTTGCTTGATAGCGACAGTCCTTGGTTGTGATGGCGTTGGTTGCTCGAGAGTCCTTGGCTAGTTGAGGTATGAGCAAAAGTCGACTAGTCCAGGTGGAGCTAGTTGATGCCGAATGAATTGGGTTGAGCCTGTTGTGCTTATACGGGCTTCTTACACAGACTCCTCC